TTGATAAGGCACAAATATTTTTTCAACTTTTTCCTGCTTCATTTAGCTATTAAGTCACTTTCCCGTATAGGTATTTCCTTTTCTATTTCATTAAAAAAGCTGAACCAGATTGGTGGCATTTAAATCAGTCTGAGGATGCGAGTGGAATTTTCTCTAGCTGTATGTCTTCAAGCCTCAACATTCACCAAGAACTCCTTGCCCTGAAAAGAGGTCAAGCGGCAGAAAAAAAGACAAAGGAAGGACTAATTGCACCAACCTGCAGGTTTCTGGGAGTCCGTCTATCGGACCTGAGCAGACACTCATAAACAGAAAAAAAACCCTGCCTCATCCTCTCACTCGTATGTAGCAGGATACGGGTAGCTGGAGAGAGCATACATCTACCATGTCTGTAATAAGGGAGATGGAGGCATAGCTGAAAATTGTTATATGACAAGTGATATTTGTCTTTATGATTCCCAGATATCCAAGAAAATCTGCAACATTTGGGGAGTTGCCAGGGCATGAAAGGTAAGTTTCATGTATCAGAGAGACTAAGAAAAATTCATCAGCATACTGGCCAACAACAAAACACAGTCACAAATTCGAATAAACTATAATCGAAATTAAGCAGTGAATTTAAAGGGCTGTTCTCATTATTATTATTCACTCAAAATAGGTCTCAGATGAAACATGCAAATCCACTTAAGATGTACATTCATTCTTTTTAAGACTATTTCCTCCTTGAGATTTTATCTCAGTAGAAATATGCTTACTGGCTGAAAGAGTAAAAGATTAAGCAACACACAAGTCCAGGAGGCAGGGAGGAGAGCACCCAGGCCTATTAATGAAGTTGCAAACAGATGCCCCTAAAATGAAAACTAAGCAATGCTAATGACAAAGAGAAGTAAAACTGCCTTGCTTTTACTAGGTGCTGGTTTGGAAGGAAAAGTGCTCACCTGGGGCAAATACTTCTCATATTATTATTAACCAAAGCACTGCAATGTGCAGCTATACACAAATATTTGAGTAGCCAATAAAAAGCATTTAACAGACAAACTGAAGCAGCTTAGAAGGCAAATATAAAAATATGAGCCGATGGCCAGTGTTTAGAATTAAATGCACTGAACACTTACGTTTCGAGAAGTCATAAATTACCTTCAGATGCAAACCCACAGCTTTGTTTACAAAGGAAATGTCTTCCTACTCTCCCCATCCCCAAATACAATGGTGAACCACCAAGATACAATTGGAGACACAAGCATAACGCAGAGTGCTTGCTCCCCATAATCACCAATTAGATAAGTAGGGAAACAAGGATGTAGCTTTTAAGAGCTAGACTGATCAGTAAGGACACAACAGAGTTTCCTAAAATCCAGTACAGACTTTGAAGATTGCACTTGGACTCCACTGCTTTCAAATAGAAGAAAGCTTTCCCATGGCAGCAAACTGTATGAGGGGACATGACTGAAGAAATAGGAAGGAAAGATAGCTCCAGGACTAAGGTAATAAAAATAAAAAATTAAACAAACACCTCCCCCACCCTCCCAAAGAAAAATCTCTTTTGCATGTAAATTTGCTTTTCACCAAGAATAATAAGAATTTGTATTTCACCAAGAATGACAAGAATTCAAATTTTTCTTAGCAACGTTGCTCAAAACCCTGCGAAGCATCATCTTCTAAAGACAAATATCCAGAGGTGCAAAGCAGGTTATACAAAAACATATACCTGGTTAATAGCTCAAGCTGCATAGGTTTTTAGAAGTCTGGATCGTGGCCCCTGACAGAACCAAAATACACCTGGCTCGTATATACATGTCTCAAAATCTGACAAAATCTACAACAAACAGATGTAGTTTAGAACTTCATGTATCAATTTCCTTCCTTGCCATTCCGTTGTCCATGTGATTCATTTCCTTTTTGCTACAGGAAACAAGAATATATTCACACATTTCTGTATAAATTAGAGCTCCACGGTATGAACTGAAAAACTACAGTATTACACAAAAATTCCAACTCTCCTAAGCTTCAAAAGAAACACAAGCAACAATTATGCTGTAGTTAATGAAAAATGCTTGACTGTCAAGGAGGCAGAAGTATAAACTAAAGAGAAAGCAACAAAAGTTACGGCATTTATTTTTCTTTTCTATTACATGCCAACATCATTAGCTTGATTTCTTGGAAACTGTAGAATGGATGAGCCTCGTTACTGGCATTAAAAAACAAATAAAATTGCTGGCATGAAAGAAAAATTACTATTTGTTTAAAAAAAAAAAAAAAGACCCAGTACAATTCCCAGGAAATAGAAGAACACTGAAAGAAGTTTTGCTTGACCCAAAATAATGGGCTTCCCCCCTCTACTACAAGCGCAAATCTTGTTTTATTTACCAATTCAGTATGTGATTGCTGCTTTCTCCCTTCTCACTCCTTAATACCTGTGAGTATCTTCACTTTGCTTGGACACAGAAAGGCATAAGCACATGACAAAAATGTTTTTACCATTAAGACTGTCAGGCTTGGAACCAGGTTGCCCAAAGAGACTGTATAACCTCCATCCTTGGAAATTTTCATTATGTGACTGGACAAAACCCTGAGTAACCTCGTTGAAATTCAGTGTTGAGCCTGCTTTCTGCAGAAATTCATACTAGAGGATCTCCTAAGGTCCTCCTTGAATCATTATATTGTTCCTTCAGAAAGCCCCTCTATGTATCTCCAGAACAACATTTCAGCTATTGGGCTGGCTGAAATGCACAAGGTCTTTTTTTTTTTTAAATGACAATGACTAGTATGCTCTTGTTTCATTTTTCCTCCCAACTGCCTTTCTACATCCACCTATTATTTCTCGACTATAATCCATAAATCCTGTAAATTCCTTGGAGTTTCATGTTGTCCTGCATTTGCACATCTAGTACTTGGAGCCCTGAATCTGTGGCTAAGGTTCCCAGATAATATAGTGATAGCACTAAAAATAAAACATATCCAAATTAAAAGACAAGAAAATGACTGAACAACATACTTAGATTTAAGGACTTTTTAAATTCTCAAATACACTTAAGTGACAACACACTGCTTAGTTTCTTAGTAATTAGGAAGAAAAAGATGGGAAGCCTCTAAAACCTAATGCAATTGACCAAACAGGTATGGCAGATGTGGATATCTTTCCCCTACCATTGTAACATAGTCATGAATCAATTCTCATTAAAGGGGAAGTGAAAGAAAAAAAAAAAGTTTCATTTTTTAAAAAAGACTAAATTGATTTATACTACTGAGAGGAAGGAAAGGAATCACTTCAAATTACCAACATCCTTAACTTCAGATGGTATATCTGACAAGAGAGACAAGCATCAGATTTTACTGAGGGAAAAAAAAAAAAAAAAAAAGGAACTTTATTTTTCCTGAACTGAATAACTACTTAATGAAGATACACTCTTATCCACTAATTTTTGTTGGCAAAGACAAATATAGGAATAATTCACATATTATCTGTCACAATAACTTGAGCCCTACCTTTGACTTGACATGTGAAGATGGAAAAAGCAGTCAGAGTTGCCTGCTGCCTACATCAGTTCCCAGTTACCCGTTTTTCACAGGGAAACTGTTCTTTTCATTATTATTTTCCTAAAAATAAAGCCTGTCTGTAGTTACGCAGGTAAGTCTTGGACAACGGTCTGCTGTGGTAACAAACAATACCACAGAATTGAAGAGACGGGAGAGGCAGAGATCCGGCACAAGAAGAAATAATTTTATTGGCACATACTTCAAAGAAGCTGAAGTTCAAAGCAGTAAAGTTAAAAAGTGGTTGCTTAAACATTAAAAAGTAAAAAAAAAAAAAAAATCAAGTAAAAGTAACAGATACACAGTAAAAGATATCAAAGCTGAATAGGAAATTAAAAAAAAAAAGAAAAGCTGGAAAAAGGTGCTACATTTCTGAGCAGTTAATCCTCACTCAGTGCATCGTACTCTTCATCAGAATTAATAATATAGCATAGGCTGTAACACTACTCACTGGCTCATAAAGTGAGTCCGATCATGGGATGAACATGTAAAACCACTGTGCAGGTAGCAGCAACATAAGTGCCAGTGACTAAGATTTGCTGTGTATTTTTTTTATTTCATACATTTAAATAAGAAAAATAAAAAAGGCTAGAACAGAAGAGACATGCAACCTGAACACCCTTACTCCACTACATACGGGGGCTATCAACAAAGTCAGAACACCAGAACAGAACCAAGAGGGCTGTACAGCTGGTAACGTGACTTTAGCTTGCAATTAAGTAACCAGTTCAAAGTGCAAAGCAAGCTCTAGTGCCTCTGCACTGTCCAGATCAGTAATACATTAGTAGATACCAAGAGGCTTTTTCTATGCAACATGTAAACATTTGTGAAACTGTTATATTCATTAAAACAAAAAACCCCACCTGAACACACCCTGACAACACTGACATTAACATGAGTTCTAAAACCACCCGTATTGAGTTAGACCACCCTAACTGAACAGCAGTAGCAGTTCTATGCAATAGCTGTTTGAGAGAGAAATGAGTCTACTAGTTGGGATTTTTACACAAGCTCTTTAAGTGTAGAAAAAAAGACTAATAATATTCCAGATTGTCAAGCAAGATGAACAGTCTCATTAACTAGTATTTCACTGAACAGCACTGCAACTATGTAGTAAAAATGATCTGTTCAACTTGTACCTCTTCCTTTGGCCTCCTTAGCAGTAGACATACCCCACTTCGAAGTATTTTAAGCTTTAAAACGGTAACATTTGAAAATTATCTAGATATAACAATTATTAATCATGACTGCTTTGACAACAAGATCAAGAGTTTTTGAGCTCCTCAAAGTTATTGCAAAAAAGCACACATACATAACAAACGAAGTTTTCCTCCAAAAGATGGCAAGGGTGAACTAACGCATTTGATAATGGGGGAGTGAAGGGTGTTCATCTGAGGGCAAACTGTGTGTCTAGCCATAACATGTCTTTCCCCTCTAAAGGCCCAGAGCGGACAGTTCAGGGCACTTACCAGTTCACTTTTAGGTGCTTCCTGATAATCTGCTGAAAAGCAGGACATCGAACTTCTTGTGCCATTGCTCTCACTGCCTTGACGTGCAGGCTGTGCGTATTGCCTGTATGTAGCACTCTTTGGGGTCCAGCGAAATAGGTTGATTGACTCACGGACACAACGCTCAATGTCAATCTCTGATCAAGGATTTAAAGAACAAGAAACGCAAGTGTGAATAATCATTAAAGCCAGTTAACCGAGCAATTAACCGACCGTGACATGGCTGAATGAATACACACAAATCCATCTGTATCTCCAGTGCTATCAGTCCTAAAAACACTTGGTTTTTAAGAATATTTCGTCATTCAAAAAGCTCTTGGAAATTTTTATAAACAACTAACAGACTATTTTTGGCATTAATTTTATCCCCAAGCATATGAAAGCACAAACAAACTGTTTCTGAGGAGTCCAAAAGAATGGTAACCACTGCAATGTTGGAAATAAATTCAAGCCCAGTCACAGGAAGGTATCTTCATTAAATGTCTTTGCATGTCAGACTGAGGACTCAAACATAAGTATATGCAGCAGGAGATCAAAACCATGTGTTTCATGCAGCGTATGGACTTTTGGACTGAGTGTCCTCTTTGTTAACTAGATAGCTGCTATAAGCCAGACTGAAAGCTTCCAGCAAAACAAAGTTGTTGAACTTTGTGCGGTCTGTTGCTTTGACAAAGCTATATGCTACTCCTTTGGTGGAAAACGGGAAATGTCAACACTACTCTGCTTGACGGCACATACAAAGGATTTATTTTAGAACAGTTTATTAAAACAAAACAAACAAAAACAAACAAACAAACAAACCCACCCCACCAACCATAACTCATAGGAGAACATTCTGGCTGAAGTGACATGCCACATGTGACAAAAACATTACTGAACTTGGAAGGATAACAAACATCAGTTAAGCGGGAAGCATCCCCAAACAAGCTGTGGTCAGCTGACAGTTACCAAAGCATAATGAAAAACAGGAAGAAAAGAAAACTACGTGATCCTACTACAAACATCATTTCTGTAACGTTAAAAATCCTGCATGTATCTATCTTCTAACAGGATGCAACAAAAACATTTACTTTTTTATCACTGTAGGACAACTTGTCAATTTTGCTTCTCCTGTCTGCAATCTCATGAAGAAAAAAAAATAACCTAATTTGCACTTTATAACAAGCCTAGTGCTGTGCTTCAGAGAAGCAACGGGTATATTAGCATTTGCTGTATCCCTCCCAAGCATCCTAGATGCTTTATTACAGCATTCACAATTTGGAAGATTGAGACATCAATTTCTATAAAGAAAATAGAGGTACCGCAGCTGAACTTTATCTGTATTTCTCAAATAAAATTGATGCATTGCCATCAATCAGGGATTAACTCCAGAAACCCCAGTCATTAACAGGGTGGTGAGAGAAAAAAGTTGAAATTGAAACCTGGGGCAGAATATTCTAGTCGGATGAGATTAGTTACTTTGTTTAAAATCTGCATAAAATACGCCATCTATTAATCTCCATTCAAGATGCTGCCCTTATTAAGGTAGGATGAAACCTTGAGTACATATTTTAATCCCATTAAAAACAGTATGCTTACGTGCTTTCTTGGGTCAGAAATTCAGAAAAATCAAGGACTTTAGTCCTTAGCTAAAGGTTGCAAAATTTTAATCCTAGCTTTAAAACCTTGTAGATGTGAATGCAAATCACAATTTTCGTTAACCATGTCAGGATCCCCAGCTATGTGGGAAAATATTTGATGGGAGATAAATGGACAAAGTGGTGTCTCAAGAGTAACTGACAATTTTGCAATTCTGTGATGAAAATATTTTAGTTTATTTTGTACATATCACAACAGAAAGTTGCTATTTAGTATCATCCTCAAGGAAAATCCAAGCAACAGGAAAATTTCACAAAGAATTTCTAAATTCAGGTGAAGACACAAGACGCCTTTCACTGGTATTACTACTAGAGCTCAGAATACACTCTAACAATGTAATTACAGTCACACTTTTTCTGCATTTCTAAAGACATTTTATTTATAGAAAGATGAGAAATTCAGTTCAAGATTAATATGTTTATGGGTTTTGTTCTTCTGTAAAGAGCCTGTTTCATTCTACAGTGAGTTACAGTCATGTCTCCTGAGATTCTTGGCATACCATACCAGACTTCTACGGAAACTTTAACAGGACCTTTGTAATAAGTGAGATGAAAGCAGAATTTAGTAGGTAAGAAAACCCAGAACATTAACAATTTTTAGTAGCATGAGTAACATTCAGATGTGGGAAGGCATAATAACCTGCAAACATCTCAAACTGTAAACAAAGAATTAACGGATAAAACAGGAACTATATAGTGCAATAGAAAGTTATGAAAAAGATGAAAGTGGAAATTAGATTAAATTGACAGAGTTACATATTGAGACAGACTATCAAAATATATCTGCTAGAAACAAGCTGCATAATTCCAAAAGAAATCCATTCTGACAACTGGAAAATGCACCAACAGATTTTGCTAAAAATGATAACCAGTTCTCACACTTCAGGGCACAAGTCAAACACCAATTTAGTAGTCTGTCATTCTGTGATTCCCTGACATGAGGCTTCTTATTTCTTCTAAGAAACGTTTCTAGAGGCCAATGGCTGTGCCTAAAAATGAAACTCTGTGGAACAAGAGGGAATTTTAAATGGCTTGTGAGGCCATCAAAAGCCTAACAACAATTCACAGCCTGCTGATTAATTCATCTGCTACAATAATGCAAAACAAAAACATAACAATTATTTTGTGGTCCCTGCTCCCCCACCAAACATATATATACATATATATATATATACACACATACACACACACAGAGAGAGAAAGAGAGAGGAATGATCAACATTTATCACCTACAACAAAGAGGGCTATTAAGAGTAAAAGCATTTACTCATGTTCTTTTTGAAAAAACTGTTAGTTTCAGGATAGAGGAGTTTAAGATGACATTAAACTACTATAAATCATTTATAGAATATTTATTAGTCATACTGCATGAATAAGCTCCACAACTGAATAACCTTCAAGCTCCTGTTTACCCTTTATTTGGAATTTCTTTTTTTGGAAAGATAACTTCCAGTTAGTAAACAAAACGTAATGCAATCTTTCCCAGCCTGGCTGGATAAGATCTCTTCCCTTCCTCTTGGCTAATAAGTAAGGGTCTGCCATGCTACTTCAATTTGGATTTCTTCCCATGCCCTTTCAAACGTATATGAAATTATTCAGTCCTTGATTAAATGTCCTTCGTTATCACATCAACATTTTGCATACTTACAGTATTAATACTGCTTCTATTCTTCCCGCTCCTAAGTAATATTCTGTTACAAGTCAGACAGTATTAAAAGCTTACATATCATTAAATGCATACTGCTAGTATGCCAGAAGAGTAAAAATATTAAGTCAGCGCCTACATTCTTGATCAGGACTATGAACAAATGAACAGTGTACACTTCATCAGGATGCCACAGTACTTGTCGTATGCAAACAATTTAGAAGATCATCCTTCTGAGAGCAGGATCTGGAGGAATCTCAAGGCTCCAGCAAGAACAGAAACATCTAGAAAGGATGAGGAGAGCCTGCTCATTCATGAAGATGTACATACAACACCTTTGTGCTCTCCAAGGTCTTTTTTTTTTTTTTTTTAATTTAAAGAGCATGCTCATTTGGTTTTTATTCATACTAAATATTTTGCTGGAAAATCTATAATAAAAATGTGCTGACATAACACGGAGCCATTAATTGTAAAGTACACACAAAAAAAGTAAATGTAATATGAATACTATAAAAATATGTTGTCATTTCAAAACTTAGTATATCTTAAAGCAGTCTGGTTTTCATAAAGGGCAGAGCGCCCACATTTCAAAAAAGTCTAAGCTGGCATCCAAATACTTAGCAACTAAAAAATCACTAGTTTCAATTTAAAACATTGGTCCTTAAGTGTTTTAGCTTGACTTAACTTGAGTATTTTACAATCAAACAGCAATCAAACCTTAGGGGAAACAATTCTGTGGCACAAACTATTTATGCCATTATTCAGCACCAAGAGCCTTTTTCCACCCCCCGCCCCCCAAGGCTTTAAAAAATACAAATAACATGGGAATTGAAAAGGAAGGAAGGGAAGAGAAGTGACAGTAATATCCTAGTTTTGCCATGGCCCCAGCCCAATATTAGGAAATATTTTGCTCCTTTTCTGAACTAAACTTCCTGGTTGCTATAGGACGTTACTCACTTTTATCTCTTCCATGCTGAATTATCACTCCATACCAAGTTGCTCCCTCCATCAACATCGTTTCAACTGAAAAGGATGCCTCACCTGACAGAGCTGCTTTTCAAGCTATGTATATTCAGTGTGTATTATCACAGATGCAGGAAAGAAGTAGATTGCCCTTGAAATAGATGTTAAAAACAAAGCATCAGTTTAAAAGCCACACAACTGTGACAAAAGCACACAGGATTTTTATTTTTAGAGCAGAGCAGGAAGCACAAATGGTGTTCACAGCAAGTAAAAGTGATTACTGGAGCAAAACATATCATGAATAGCTCTTATTCAATGAAAAGGCACACAGACTAACTCTTTGTGTGCATTTAATCAATTCCAGAGGCCTTTGCTTGGGTAAGAGGACACAAGTTAAGAAATATGGCCAAAATAAATTGCTTCTGCATTTTGGAAATAGCCCAGAAATAAGGGCTTAGTTTGATCTCTCCATCACAAGTAATTTATCACTATCCGGCCAGTCAAACTCAGCTCTCCCTGCACAGCTACGTAAGTAGGCAAGTAGACCTTTGTACTATAAAAGCAGGGAAGCGGAATAGGTCAGTCAGTTTGATCTCATGAGTTCTGCTGTAAGAAGAAAGAGAGATGAAAGGCCATAAACCTTTTCTTTTTATATGTCATTCAAAAACATACATCAAATAATTAAAAGGACAAATCCTTTTAAGGATTTGTAAGAAAAGTGACATTTCTATCCAATATCTCTGTACCTACCACTGCTAAAAGGTTACTATAAATGAGAAAGTAAATGAAAAATTATTCTTTTGATATCACTTATTTCATACACTACAAAATTATTATTATATTTCATTGTTTTATGGACAGTCACTTGCTCTTCCTCTTACACATATCAGCA